CAGTCATGTCGCACGAACGGTTTGTATACTTGAAAAAGAATATTCTTACTATTCTTTAAAACATTACATTTACTAAGTTCAAAATTATCGACAGTTGTTTATACACGTATCACCTCGTTTTGATTGTAAAATATTTTCGATTTTTGTATCCATTTTAACTTAAATTGACACACAGAATTAGTGTAGACCTAAATAATTCACTTAATACTCAATTTATAAATTAGTTTCTGCAGTCTAATTGAACATCAATTTAGTGAGCCTTAATACTAGTTTAAAATTAGAAATTGGTCCAATCGAGTTCTTTGAGGAAAAGTATAATTTTATGCGATACGCTACAGAGAAAATAGTTTTGGTCTATTTTTTCATCGGCACATAAACCTATGTGGTAGAGTGTGATACTTCATTTTAGAAGGTATTGATTTGAATTGGTTCAATTCACTAATACAATGATGTTTACATTTTATTTTATTTTTCGGTGAACAACTTTTCTACCAGAACTTTTGCTCTTCAGGAGGTCATTTTTTGATTTTACTAGGGATTTTTCTAATAAATGGGAAAAACGGGAAATTGTATGAAATGTATTATTTTCATATCGTTAACAGTATGGCGTTTCAAAACATGTAGAATCGAACTCCACTCAGAAACGTTTTTCGTTAGCAACGATATACGTTACGTACAAATATATAATACATTTCCCTTCTACCTTACCAACTTCTCACCTACAACAGTGGCCATCATACAAAATATGTCCGTTTGTTTTTTTAATTTTTTTTTTTTGTATGTATACCGGGAAGTATTTGATTTTTAATATGAAACGATATCAATGTGTTTTTGGTCGATGATTTTTCTTTAACATAATATTGCTGCTAATGAATTAGTAACTTCTGATAATTAATATTTTTATGTAACTTTAAATTTTTTTTCGTGTATATTTTACATTTATACATGGATAGAAAAAGTTTTTAAAAAACGTTATTAAACAAAGAAAATTCAATAACGAAAAATGATAAAAATGAAAACGGAAATAAATTATACCATGATACAAATAATTTAAAAAATAAAATAGTTTTATTACTCTATGGTAATAATAATTCCCTTATCGAAAAAAGAGCTAATCCTGATCGGTTAATGGCACTGGTTAGAAAAATGAAAGAACCGTTTTCGGAAACCCGGTCCGCTCGCATATTAACATACTGCACACAGTGCACGTGGTAAACATATTACCCGGCGTGGTTTTGCATAACAAATCGGAGTTTATTTTTGATTAATTTCCTCCATTCGCTTCAGCTGGAGCCAGGCTACGCAAAATAATATTATAATTAAATATAGTAGTATTAAGTATTCAAATATAACAAATTTAAAATATATAGGTATAGACATTTCGCTTTCGGTTCGTTATTATTTATCCCTATTATTTCCGAACAACTGCCCTCAACCCAGTTTTGATAACTGGTAAGTGATAAATAATATTGTTGATAATTAATAAATCTTTACGAGAAAGCTGTGGTGTATTATTTATGGGTTTTGGCGATGCTTAGTGCTATAGTTTCAGTTACCCAAACTTATTTTAAAAAAACGAATATATTGTTCCAAAGTAACTTGTTTGTATTATAAATAAAACAGATTGTTAATGTTTACAAAATGTATGTTTTAATAATATATACATTTAGAAATTATCAACATAATTAAATTGTATTATATTTTAAAAGAATATTTGAAATATTTATTCTATATTAAATACTCGTATGTTAAACCTCAAAGAATAAAAACCAAAAACGAAATAAAACCTTTTTAAAAACGTAAAATGAAAACAATATTTTTTATACTATTAAACAAAAACGAAAAAATTAAAACCGTTTTCCATCTTTGCAATTTTACCTACCCGCCAATCAGATATTTGATGACAAGGTTTTTTCACGTTTCTTCTGAAAATTGCATCTGTTACAAAAAGGTGTATAATAAAAATCCGTCGTTAAACCCCTATACTTTTGGTCAGAAATTGCGTTTCTACGACGTAAAACGTTTAGGCTATTACACGTGACACGCAGTAATCGTGTAACGTATATACCGACGTAGGTGGTATATACGTTACCGGAAAAGTATCAAAATGTATGTACACAAAAAACGCTCATTCAACTTTAGGAGTGTATCATTCTGAAATTTCAAATAATGTTCACTTTATAAAGTCATATAATATATTTGATTTGGCTTGTTTGTGATACATGATTCGACCAATGTGATTTAATTCATCATTACTAACTACTTAAAACAAAAGAAACATCCATGAACCAGGGCCGGATTTGACGGGGGGCATTAAGGGCATATGCCCCGGGCTCCCAAATTTTAGAGGCCCCCGAGACTCGAATCAGAAATATAAAAAAATTGCAATTTGGGTTCTCAAACTATATTTTAAAAAAAAAATATAGTTTTGAAAATAAAAATTAATTAGGTATAAAATATAAATTAAATTGTACTACAGTATACTACAATCGTTATTATTGCATTATCACGGTGACGTAAAGTTGCGGGTTGTGTAANCGGCTTATCGCTGTTTATAGTGTTTATGCCTTTATTGTGAATTATTTATTATTTTGTACATTCCACTTCTCGACTAAATCTCGTTATTTCATTATGATCAGCCAAGAATACTCATGGGCCTGTACTGTTAAATTGTTTTAATAAGTAAGTAATATTTATAATAAATTTAAAATTAAATAATTTTAATAATCTATACGAAGTAGAAAATATTAAAATTAATTTATTATAATAATTAGAGAATGGATATTAATGTACATACATATTTTACTCATTATCTATTTTGGTGTAATTAAATACTTTTTTCATCAATTAATTTTTGTTATGGACCATTTAGGGCCCCAAAATATTTTTGCCCTGGGCCCCCTAATGTTTAAATCCGGCCCTGCCATGAACAGCAAAGCTTCGTCATTAGAGTAACATTTTTCTCTACTTATTTTGTAATATAGAAATATTGTATTAAAAACAATAAATAACTGACTACTCTAATAATACAATACTATAATTAATACCAAAATTAAAATTATACTTCTTGCGAATAAATAGTGAAATTTGAACATTAACAGGGGTGGGGGTTCAAAAAAAGAAACACCTAAAAGGTACATCCAAGATACTAACATGGCGTTAGTGTGACGAAAATTGATTGCATAGACAAAATTGTATTTTCTTGTTTCCATTTTGAAAGTGTGAGTGTTCAAAGCTAAAAAACCATCCCCTCCTATAATACCATGGTAAAATTCAACTCAACCATAACACTCGAAAAAATAAGCCCTTCTTAAAATATAGTATCAAGTGAAATAAAAACAGAGATACCATTGAAATATATTTATAGCTATTATTTAGCCTGCGTCAGTCATTTGAAAAATACGCGTGACGTCATAATTTCGCCGCCGCTGATTACTCTGTACATGATTTTACGGGAGTAATACGACTCTCGCTGTTTAAACGCTTATAACTCGGCTAATACTAAATTTATTGTTGTAGACCTATATAATAATTTAAAGTTCACAAATGCATCTTTCATTGAATGTATTTTACAACAATATGTTCATTAAATGATTCAATTAAAAATTAAACATAAACATTTATTTGTATGACTGTGGATTATTTTAGGACTATTGTCCACTGTGTTATTATCGTGTAACTATATTTATACACGTTTGTAGATAACATTTACAGTATTATTTAACTTAGAATTATGTTGTGTTTATCTAATACAAATAAAAATATTTGCCCAGTAAGTGAATCAAAATAAAAACTGTAATAATTAATCTAAATAATACTGTCTCGTGGTCTAGGCTTCAGTTATACCTCGCGAGCCCGTACTTATCGTGTTTCGTATAATCGTGTGTATAGTTTTTCATGCGCGTAGTATAGTTTATACAATAAAATAAAAATGTATACCTATTAAAATGTTGTGTTCCTTTTATGGTTGTTCTATTTATAATGAAGAAGGTGTTAAAACAGGTCTAGGAAAAATATATTTTTTTAAATTTCCTAAAAGAAAAAAAATCTTCTAATTGATTTAAAAAATGGAATGATTTCTGTAAAAAGAAAACATTTTGTTTCTGGAAAATCAGCTGTAATACGTGCAAAACATTTTACTGAAAATTATTTTAATTAATTTGATTTACTTCGTCAAAAACTTATGCCAAATTCTAAGGTTCTTGTTCATTTAAATATTGGTGTTTTCCTTACTATTTTTTCATAACATGGTTCTAATCAAACGTTAAACCGTTTGCAACGTTCTTCTAGAACAACATTGCCAAACATGGTAAATTCAGTAACCGCCAAAATAAGAACACCGGAATAAAATAACAATTCATACAATAACATCGAACCATATATTTCAGAATGTGAATCTGTAGACGGTAGTTTTTATAGTGCTTCTACAAGTACAATAAACAGAAAAAAAAATAAAATACAATTTGGTGCAAATGATGTCGGTATACAATGTGACATCGAAAATGACTATTTACGTCGTAACAACGTAAATTAATTATCGTTTGACCTGCCATCGGAAAATGATTTGTCCGAAGAAGATGAAGAGTTTAAGGAATTTTCTGAAAGTGATCATAACGACCAATTACAACAACTTACAGATAATTCAAACAAAATTAATAATAATTCATGTTTTATTATATTTTGGGAGTGTTTATCTGAATTATTTGATACGTGCCGTAAATGTTCTTCTTCCGTAGTATCAAAAAAACATTATCTCCAAGGTGCGTTACTCTCAATTACAACCAAATGTGAAAAAAGGCATAGTTCCAATTGAATTCTCAAAAAAGAATGGGAAACAACCAGAAGGTAATATATTAATAGCTGTTTCATTGATACTATCGGAAATTATTTTCAATCAAATGACTGCATTTTGTAATACTTTGAAACTTAATTTTTTTACGAGAAATATTTATGACAAATGTTTAAAACTTTACATTGGGCCAGTTATTTATAATGTTTGGGAATAGGAAAAAAAAATTTAGAAGAACTTAAAAATGGGTCTAATGAAATTTGGCTTGCGGGTGATGGACCATTTGACTTTCCTGGATTCTGTGCAAAATATTATACTTATTCAATTATGATGTGCAGACAGGAAAAATAGTTGGTTTTAAATTAGTTCAAAAATTAATGGTTCAAAGTGATTTAGAACGTAATACTTGTGGATTATTGAAATGATTAATGATTAATGAAATAATTAATGAAAACAATTGCAAATTAGACATTTTTCTTACCGATAGATATATGGGTATTCAATATGACATAAAAGTAAATCATTCGTATATTGAAAATGAGTTTGACATATGACATATTTTTAAAAGTTTAATGAAACATATGAAAACATTAGACAAAAAATATCCGAATGCGTTTTTTTGGAAAACCAGTATTAGCAACCATTTATGGTGGTCTGCGCAAACATGCCATGGTGACGGAAATTTGTTAATGAAAAAATTGACATCTATTTTGAAGCATATTAGTAATATACACGAATGGGATAAAGATGATGAATTAGTAAAATGTGAACATGCACCACTATCAAACGATGAACAACTTTGGATAAATCAAAATAGTGATCCTTACGTTGCTTTAAAAAAAGTAATCACAGCTAAAGATTTTATAAAAGACTTAGCACATGCTAAACATTTTATTCATACAAGGAGACATACCAGCGGTATATTGTAAAGTGGTATATTCAAAGAGCCTTCGGAAACATACAATAAAAACTCGTTTTGAATCAACAATATCAGAGTGGCGGCATGTTATAATAGAAAACCTACAAACTGCAATTAGAAGTGGGGTACCTGTTGATTATGAACAGTTCACATACAGTTATAAAAACGCACCTAAAAATATTGCTCCAGTAACTAAACCAGATTTAGATGATCTAAAAATGAAACGATTTTCTAGATTTTCGTCTAATAAGTAGATTTTATTTTTACTTAATAATTAAAAATATTTATTATGCGTACAGTAAACATTTTATTTAAATTTATTGTTAATATAACATTTTTTTTTTTACAATTTGTACCTACCTGAAAACATTAGTTATACAGATTTAAATTTAAATTTTCAAAAATAATTAAAAGTTGTAAAACAGTTATTTAGTACAAATTATATTGTTCATTTATACAGAAAATGGTTTATGATGGTAGAAAATTAGAATCCTTGAATCCTACGTAATTTCCATTGCTTTTTGGATAAGTTTCCCTGATTTTGTGCACGACACACATCTTTCGTTATTATCTTTCGTACACTTACAAATAATTATAACATTTTACAAAACAATGTTAATTAAAAACTTGCTTTTTATTTATTTTAAGTACATAGCAGTATTTTTTATTTATATTATAATTACAGTTTTTTTTTTTAAATAATACATATAATACTATTTAGTATTGAGATTTATACTTTATATTTATAATTTATTTATTAGGTTTATCTATAATATTTTTTTTCCATAATGTTAATAAATATATAAGTACATAAGTATATACTTATGTAGCTAGTTTATTTAATATAGGTTTATGAATTTAGAGTTACCAACCTTTACCAAGTTTAGACCACGAATTTGCTCAGTAAATAAATTGTTTATACCAGATGAAACACCATGCTTTTTTATCCAGCATAAGTAAATTGTTACGTTTGTTTTGATTTTTGGTCTTAACGATCATTTGCTGTTCTGTAATATTTTTTTATCTGGACAAAGTTTTTGTAAATTTTCAAATTCAATATAACAAACGCACTCACGATCAGTATTTAAATTTATGTACTTTTTATATAAAAACCATTCGTTCAACGATTTTAAAGATCTGTTTTCGATACACAAATTTGAGTTTAAATATTCGGTTACAAAAAGCATCGGATTGAAATTACTGTCAATATCTTTGATTGTTGGCTCAAAACTATATGGTTGTAATGTCATGTTAAAAATTAGTTTAAAAGCACTAACAAAACTTTAATATTACCTAGAGTAAAAAATATACAGGTTGTATGCGTGTGTTATGTGTTGTGACGACTGACAACTGACAAGCGAACTAAATACTGATGTGAACACATCATATTACACTTAACACACTTTTATTATTTAGTTATATTTCATAAAAATGTGAAAAAATAAATATATTTTCAGTCGTGTAGTCCTTTAATGATTTCAATACGCTTATAAAACAACTCGAATTCCCGGGTTAAGTTCATTAAGTCCAAAGGGAGCCCCTAAAAATGTACACTTTTTTATAATAACGTTTATTTATTGCAGGCTGCCATTGTCTTAATTTTGGTAAAATTTTACCACGAAAAAAAAAAAAAAAAAAAAAAAAAAATGATTATACTTAATTCTATAAACCATAATGACTCATAGTACCTATTTAAATTATTATTTTATAGATTACACGTGTTCTCGTCGGACAACTATTTTTGGGACGAAGTATAATCTTTTTAATCCCGGTCTATCTTAGGTACGCGATATTTTTGCATATTTATTATTTTTTATGTATAAGGTCCGAGTATCTATATGGTTAATGACCAACACATGGCTAGTGATACATTGAGTATATTCTTTTGTATATTACTACAACGCGCGTATTACATACGTTTTTCCTTCCACACAGTATGCTTTCCATTTATTTTAAATATAATAAATCGAGAACGATATTTTTGTTGCGAAATTCATATGTTTATTTTTCGCGCACGAAACAACACACACTTTTTATACTTATCATAATTTTACGTTTTGAAACGTAATTCGGCCGAATTAATTGGAGGGAACGATATATCAATTTTTTTTCTTATTATTTCTTCAAATTTTTTCATAATTTAATTCAATAAGAAAATCAAGGAGTACATTACGATTAATTTAAGCTAAGAAAATAGAATATCCATTTCGTTATAATATCTACATAACAAATATCAAATAAAGTACAAATTCTAACAGTTAAATACTGTTTTGTGACAACTAACTAGCATTATAAATATTATAAGTATACTATTGAATAATACACATGAATGATTACATTATAATAAGTACCTTTACTTAATTATACACTCGAGTTTTATTAATTTAATAAAGTATTCACCTAAATTAAATTATGACATTGAGCGCTGGTCTTTGAACACTTTAAAGTAGATTGATATTTAAGAATGGTTAATCGTTAAAACATACAAAATCGAACAATAAATTGGCGGAAATAAAAATTAAGTAGAGATAAGCTATATATATTATATAATATAATATAAGTGTACTAAGTGTACCTATCAAAAAATTCTAAAGCCGATCGGTTTTAAGAGCTGTCAATTTGTAGGAAAGGGTATTTTTTTAGTTGATTGTATGTCTTAGTTTTCTCACACAAAGTATGAAACATGTAACAATGAATTTAATTATGATACATTTACTTTGCATTTCTATTATTAAGAGCTTTTTTATATTTTTGAGTTCATTTTACGATATTTTTTAATCCTTTTTTAATGAATGACACATATTTTTAATTTATCTAGGTTATATTGTATGACATATTTATAATTCATATTCTTGTTTTTAATTTACACAAGTTGTATATGTTTAAGTAAATGTAGTATTATGCGGCTATAATATTTGATTGCTAAAATAAGACTAATTGTGGCCATTAATTTTAATAAATCAGAATCTAGTGAATTTCCAGCGTAAGTAGTTATCTGTTAATGATTTGGTTATTTAAGGTGTTTGAATACATTTTTTTTGTATTTTAATTGCAGTTTATAAATTTTAATGTGTAATGAGTGATATAAGTCATAGCATACTATTAGAAGTATATTATTGTTCTTTCTTTTCTACACTTCTATTAAATTATGTATAATTTTGTTTTACATTTTTATTATAAAACTCACGATGTAAGTTTTGATTTAACGAATGGGAATTTAGAACGAACGTCTTAATATTGATGTAAAAACACTTATGCAATATTTATATTCCACTTATATTTTATAATTAAGCACGTTCCATTTATTATAAGCATTTTTACTACCTTATAAAATATAATTTTACAGACAGAAAACATGATAATAATTTGTGATTATAAAAATAATAGAGTCATGATAAGATTTAAATATAAACTTTAAAATCGACACACTAAGAAATTAAAAACAAAATATGAATTTAAATAATTTAAATGTTTGTTCGAATTCCTTTTTGTAATTTTTCAAAAGTGATGTTAAAATAAAGAGAGATCTCAAAAATTACTTCCATACTTTAAAAAACATAGGTATTCGAACACTCTCTGAACCTAACCGTACGTATCCGGAGCCTTTGAAATTATATTCTCATAATTCGATACAATATATGATTATTATCTAAATTTGGGAACGGGGGAAGTGAGATATTATAAACCACACGATAATTCGACCGTTCATTTTTTTTATGACGTAATGATATTCAATGAATAGATACACGGTGTTTCCTGTTGCAAAACTTCCAGTAATCGTGGAGATTTTAATTTTATACTTTTCAAATATGAAAAATTATTTAAAAAAAATAACGAAATCGTGAAAAAATCGTATTTTTTTTCTTGATAAATCTTTTTTTATTTTAAATACCGTTTCGAAAATCGAAAAATGATCTACGTATTTACTAAGTAGATAAGATTGAATTTCAAAAATGGGTCACACTAATATATCGGAGCATGTTTTTTAGAATAAAAGTGGTCTACAGTATATATATACAAAAAAAAAATCGTTCAATGATTTTGGAAATTTTATCATCTTGAGGTAAGTTCAATATAAGTATTATTACTAAGTTTCAAGTCTCTACGTGTATTTATAACCGAATTACAGCAAAACTTTCCAAAAATTAAAATTCCTTAAAAGCTCAAAAGTTTTGGCAATGATAGCCTAAGAAAGCAAATGAAAAAGCCAACAGAAATAGTATTTTGTGATTTTTTGGTTAAATCATATTTCTGGTAGAAAACGTTGTCCATGTTTTTATAAATCAATGAAATCATAAAATAGTAAGGTTTCTTACGTTTTTTCCCACTTAAGTGCTTTTACTTAAAAAAGAGCTTCGAAAATCAAAAAAATGATCTGTTTAAAGTACTATCTAGACAACTTGAGCTTTCATAAAAGTTGCTACACGTAAAAATCGGAGCAATTTTTCTAGGAAAAAACGTGTCCACAGTCTTGAACAAAGAACAAAGAAATAAACAACATTGTAAAACCAATAGCTTCCCTCGTTACGCTTGGAATATAAAATATGATTTTCTTTACATTTTCAGAAATAATCACTACTCTATCTTATACTGTTCAGTATTCGTATAAACCATTCCGTATTATAACGGAGAATTATAGTATTAACTGTTATAATAACAATATATATATTTAGTCGGCTTATACACTTATCTTCTATCTACGTTAAATTAATGTAATTCATTCCCCCCTGCCCGACACAAATCTATAATGTTGCATGAGAATTACGATGTTTAACAATACCTACTATATATTTTGTTAAATAAGAATTTAAGTACCTACCTACATAACAAAACGACGGTGTTTATACTATTACTAAGTAGCTGCCTACTTATCGTTGAAAAATCTTTCTGATATTCCCTGTAGACGATTTAAAGGAATATGGCTCGACGATTTTTTTTGTTTTTCAAATGTTATAAAACATATTTTACTGCTGCATAGGTTATTAGGTTATGATTATATAAAAAGCCCCG